TAATGCTAAACTCCCTGCAGCCAAGTAATATGCTGGGAGAAGCAAAACAAAGATATTAAACAGAAAAACCAATAAAGGAAACATACTGTGGAAAAGTCCTCTCTGACCCCCTTGGGCAATCCATCAAAACTGGTTGTTTCTTTCTGTTTCTGATTGAAAGGAACAGAGGAATGTCAGAAACAAGACCACAAAAGACAAAGAAACAAGAAAGATGGGGGTGGCAGTGTGGGTGGGAGGGCAAGAAGAATTTGATGTTTATTTGTGGCTGCCTTCTGATTGCTTGAGATGAAGATGGACCTAATCTACTCGTGGCTCAGATTTGCAGCTTTGGACTAAAAATCTCTCCCCAAGAATTTGCAATATTGTGAGCAATGGTTTAACAGGACATGTTGTTGTGTAAATTTTTATCCCTTATCCCATGTATCTTGTGCTTTGAAACTGCTAGTTCTGCAAGCTGTTCCTCCCTAGGTAGCATGAAACACAATAATAAGCAATAACTGAGATGTTGTGGCAGATATTGCTGTTAATGCTTTTTGCAGATCAATAAGCAGCTCACTAGAAAACATGTTATGTTTAAGCAACAAATCTGATTGGAGATAGCAGGACATGTCATGGACAATGTTCTCATCAAGCTCGCCAATCTCTTAAAAAGATTGATTCTTGGGTTCAAGAAGTCAGACAGCTGAGAGGGTCAAGATCATCCTTGGAGAGCTATGCTGCTTTGATTTCTGATATTCAATATTTTGAAGGATCTGCTGTGCTCTACAAATGTTTCCCTTGTTCTATGGAAGAGTCCTCATCCTGAATCTAATGCATGTATTTGAATGTTATTTCCTTTGTGGCAACTGTAACCAAATGTGATTTTAGAGCTTGATCTTATGCTTGACTGATTGAAAGACTGTTCAAAGAAATTCAGCAAAATTTAATTTGCACGTACAGAACTTCATTGGTGTCACTCATGCATTCTCTCTGTGTTGTAAGTAAGAGGCAATACTCTTTTTCTCTTGTGTCGTTTCCAGCAAGACATTAGTTTGCATGAATAATTTTTGCAGTGACGAAGCTGGATTGTTCTCATTCTCATTGGTTTTAGGCATAAGATCAAGTAAAATTGGACAATGGTTTTAAATCACTATCATACTTCAAAAAAGGTAACACTAATCATCAGCTATAATTGCTAGGCTGAATTATCATTCTCCTGTCCCTCTGTGGTTCATGTTGTTACCCCAGATACTCACCTCTGTGAACATGACTATTGTAGATAGAGAGTACATTGAGGAGGCAATCTTAGTGAGCTTTGTCTGTGCATCACATTTATTTGTTTGAATCTCTCAAGCTTTTATTAGACCTCGTGCTGTCATTTCTAATGAGGACGAGAGAAGGTTATTTTTAATTTTCTAGACCTGATTTTCAAGGCAGGGAACTTGCTGGCACTCGTGCTTACAGATACAAGAGAGTAGGTGGGAATGTGTTTGCATAGCAACTTGGATTAATTCTCTGGCATCAGACAGATTGATATCTGTGATATTCTTTTGACTTCCTTCCATGGGCACTGCTGACAACATTACAAATTCTTGGGGAGAGACCTTTAGTCTAAAGCTGCATATCTGGGCAGTGATCCACCATGATTCTTGCCTCCAGGTAATCAACAGAAGTCTTTTTAAACATTTCTCCCACAATATTTCCGAGAAAGACGAGCTTTGCCATTTCTATACATTATCTCATAATGCAATACAACGCAGCGTTGATAGACATTTCAACAGTAAACCACTGAGCTGCTCTCTACTTTGAGTTTAAAGAAGGGAAGGCTGCCAGGAGATTTGATAAAGGTGTTCAGAATCATGAGCCTAAACACACAGAATAGATAGTGAGAGATTGTTTCTATTACTGCAAGAATTATAGACAGAAGACACAGGTTTCAAGTCATTGGCAAAAGAAATACAGGCAATGTGAGGAAGGCATTATTACACAGCAAATTATGAGATCTGGAATGTACTGTTTGGATGGGTGTTGGAGGCAAATTAAATTGTAGCTTTCAAAAGGGAATAACACAGATATTTGAAAGGGAAATCAGTGACCTCAGGACTAAGTGGAAAGAATGCAGTGTGGGTCAAGCTAAATTGCTGTTGCAGAGAGCCAGCACAGCTTTGACATGCAGTGTGACATAACCATTCCATAACCTTAATAACAAAGAAAACCTGTGGATGGACGGAAGTTATATTTCTTTAACTTCCTTTCTCCATTACAGCAGAATGGTCCTTACAGTTGGGATGCATGATTGGATCAACTATTTTGACTGCAGGATGTGCAAGTTATGCAGTGAGAAGTTGATAGAACTCTTTTGCTGCCAGCGGTCAGTCTTGTGCTAATAATTTAAGGCTGAGCATCCTTCCACTCAAACATTTTGGAAACTTGGGTTGCCTTATTTTCTCTGGGTGTGAATGTTTATTGATTCTCATGTTCCCAATCTGGGATTTGTTGTTATTTAGAAAGTCAGGAAATTTGTCTCACTGTTGAGAGCATCTGGCCAGCGAGGCTTTGAGACTCTAAGTGGTAAAGCCGTTAAGGGAGGGCATCTGTACATTGAGGTTAGGAACATGATCAAACCGTTGATGCTTTAGTTCTATTTGAGTTCAATTGATGACAACACGACAATGTACTCACAAGCAAGTTTCGCTTATTCAAAGTGTAATACTTCTATTAGGCTATAAACTATAAACTTTTCACTATACTCATTGAGTATATGTGACAATAAAGCTAATTCAATTCAATTCAAGGTTAAGTACATTCGAAACAAATCAGATTGAATCAGAAAAATGATGTCGCTCAAGCATTTTTGGAGTTTTTTCTTTTCTGAGTATATTATTTACACAGAGACATCTGTGCAATTAGTGAAGTTGTTATTGATTAACATGGATGTGGATGACTCTGTCTTTTTAGTATTATGTTTCTGTGTCAGATTTCTCATCTCTCCTTCCTGCACAGCTTCCTGAGGTCACTGAGCCGTGCTGTAATTCTTTGTTAGCTAGTGTCAAGCTGCATCGAATTCAAGGCTCTGAGACCAGATGAGATCTGCATAGCATTAAAATTACGTTGCAGCAGAGAATGTAACCTCTGTTGTACTGATTCTACTGTTCTTTGAAATACTGATGCAGGCAGTTTTCCTAATAAAAAAGCAATTTTAATGAATAAATTGTGTAATTGGGCTTGTAACAGTTGGGACAGGATATGAATGTGTGGTAACTACAGGAAGTTGTGCAAGGCCTATTTAAATCATACTAGCCATATCTATAACTGTTAGATTTTTAACTTAAATTTAATTTCTATTGTACCCACTTGAACTGAAAATGTCCGATGATACAATGATTCATTTGTGCTTCCTAACATTGGTTGTATCTTGAGGGCACATTTTAAACATTTTAACACCAGAATTGTGGTTCAAGATCTGTCAATTATAGTTCAGACAGTTACAGTGTATGAACTAATGGCTGCAACTAATGGCAAACATGCAATTCTCTCACTATCAGCTGTTTAGAACTTTAACTTCAATGATTTGCCTTCTGTTGTTGGTGGCAAGAGAGAATAATTTGCCTATTAATTCTGTGTTTGGGGATTCACCATGACTTGGTGAAGAACAGCCGTTACTTGGAAATATAAGAATGGATTAGACCAGAGATGCATATACTGTAGATATTTGGTATATACTACATTGTACTACAATCTTAATATTAAGCAAGCTCTTGGCATAACGTTAGAGATTGTTGTCTCATGTCTACATATGTTAAATTATAATGCTTGGTGATAAGATTGCAGTGGCCTAATGGTAATCTGCTGTAATGTGATGCTGCAGAGTCACGACCAAAGTGGTTTTCTGTTGCCTGATGAGAAATGCACACGATCAGTGGGGACATGTCACAAAAGGAACTTGGGTATTGTTAGGCTGATCACAGTGTTAAGAGCAAACACAGAAGTTGCTGGAAATGCTCAGCAGGTCTGTGAGCATCTGTGAAGAAAAAAATCAGAGTTAACGTTTCGGGTCCGGTGACCCTTCCTCCGTGTTAAGAGCCCCCAGCTGGCTAAAACTGTGGAGCATGGGCAAGCTTGCTGCCATTTGTCCAGCAAAGACTGCTCCATCCATTAAGACACTTGCTCTCAAACTTGTCTGAAGCCAAATACAAAGTCAACTACCCATCAATGTGCTAAGCATGCTATCTGTCATTAGTGGCACTCCAGATTACTGCTGATTGTCCTTCATAAGGTATCAGAACACCACATTTATTGAAGGATCAGTTTGGTTGTAATCTTCTTTCGTCAAGCAGGCTGTGTTGGTGCCAACCAGAGGCTCCATTTAATCCTCCTGTACACTGCATTGTTGGGACTTACAATGCTGGCATAATAATACCTCTGAATAAATATTTTATCGGTCGGTATGATTTTGCAATAGCCCGAAGCTAAATTGACGTGTGCTTTCGGGGCTGGGAAGGATTAAGCCAAGCACCCAGCATGATCACTGTCAAGGGAGGCATACAGGAGTGTGAATGTGGGTGTTAAACTCATGACTGGGTTAGATTAAATTATAATTCCCTTTTACAGAAATAGCCTCTTTGGAGAAAAAAAATTTCTAAAATTCCCAAAAGCAAAGCTTACCTTGAGCAAAGGCTGTTAACACCCACAGAATGACACCCCAGAAAAAAAATTCTGCAAGGGAGAAGAGAATAATGGATGTAATTTTTGGATGATAAATCCATGACTGTGGCATAAATTATTTTCCTGCAATGTTCTCATTTTCAAATTGGAATGAGGAGTCATGCATCTTATAGCTATACCCACATTTCCCACTCTATGCCCATGTCTGTAAACTGTAAAATACATAAAACCTGTTGTCATGTATTACTTATGAATGTGTACTTATACATTTTCTGGTTAACTAGTTTTGTTCAGATTTGATGTTCTGAAGTGTTTTGATGAGCATTTCCTTATGTGGATTATTCATTATACTACAGGTTCTTTTGGACTCGATGCGATATAAGAATGAGCTGAATGACATGAGCAGAATGTGGGTAAGTGCCCTGGACTTTCTGTTCTTGAGTACCCTCTTGTGTACATGTCTTTGTGAGGTCGTATTTATCATACCGTTCAGAAATGTTTGCAGAAACCTGTTTTTGAACACCGTTCAAATCTTTAAGCACTTAGAAATAGCACTGATGTTGAGAGATGATTAGACACTCGGGAGGAATTGGGAGCAATTCCGAAGGTGACTGAGGTATGTTCAAGCAAATAAATTTTCAAACACTTGAAGTTTGGTGAAAAGATGTGAAAAGACTAAGGAGTTTTGAAGGAAATGACCAGAGAACAGAGTCCTGTTTGAAGATTGTTCACTAGTAACGGAAAGGAAGAAGACAATAATATGAAATAAACCTGACAGTGGGAGCTCAGAGACTGGGCTGCAGAGGTTTGTAGAGAATGTGGGTTTAGAAATTGAAGTATCTGGGCACTTTGAGCAATTTGAGATGAGTGAGGGAGGGAAAATAAATTCGTGGGACTTGGCACACATCGAGGTGAGGTGACTTGAATTCTGCATGAGCTCAGGAACCTGATGAGTGTTGCCCAGATTTCAGTGGCAAAGAGGGCGAGATAGAATGGTTATTGATATAGTTAAATGAGTTGAGCTAGAATGTCTGAGAGACCGCACATGTCGCTTTAAGCTTGTCTCCAGGCAGAGCACTGTGCCATAATTTAAAATTGTTACCTTGAATACTGTGAGGAAGATTTGAAATCAACGTTTGGTGCCAAGTTTTTGGAGGCAATCGAAAAGGGGATTTTTGATCTTTAACCTGTTAAATGAACACAGTGGCTCAGTGGTTAGCACTGCTGCCTCACAGCACCAGGAACCTGGGTTCGATTCTACCCTCTGGCGTCTGTCTATGTGGAGTTTGCACATTCTCCCTGTGTATGCATGGGTTTCCTCCGGGTGCTCCGGTTTCCTCTCTCAGTCCAAAGATGCGCAGGCTAGGTGAATTGACTGTGCTAAATTGCCCATAGTGTTCAGGGATGTGTAGATTAGGTGGGTTATAGGGGGATGGGTCTGGGTGGGATGCTCTGAGGGTCGGTGTGGACTTGTTGGGCCGGAGGGCCTGTTTTCACACTGTAGGCATTCTATTCTATGATCTATGAAAACATTGCGATGATGTTTAATCCTTCATACTGTAACTGTGTAGCACGTTTTGCCTTTGTCACACAGATTAAAAGTAAAACATCTTCACAAATGCTTCGTTGTTAAATGACTCTGGTGCACTCACATTAATTTACTTACATTAACATTTGACAGAAACATATGAAATTTGTCACTGAACCTCATGAGGTGATATTAGAACAGGTGACCGGAAGAGAAAGAGCTTTCGGGGGAGAACTCTGCAACTTCAGGCTGAGATGCCTGAACTAGAGGAGCAATTCACTGAAACCCTGACGACCATTTTGTTGGTATTGAATGAAATTGGGTTAAAATAAAAATACTTCTGGAGTTACTCCAGTTCAGTGGTTGCTTGATTTCTAACAATCCACTTTAGGAGTAAATGCAAATATTTAAAGTATACACTGTAAGTAGAGGTTTATTTCAAATTAATGGCTTAGTCGATAAAAATGTGTTGCAAAACTGGCAATGAAACTAGAAAACTTTCTGGATCTCTGTTAACATATGCTGTTATCATCCAGGTTGGGGAGTAGGGCCACAATGGTAGGTCTTGAGTGCTTGAGTCTAGTCAAGGAAACAAAAAGGCTGGGCCAAAAACGTTCCTGTCAATAGTAGAGTCCCTCACAACATTTAATAGTTTTTGACAAGTACTGATCAGAGGTACACATTCGGGAAAACTACCTGGGCCAGCTAAATAAAAGCTGCCAGTGTCCATGGAACTGTATGCCATCATGGGTTTTCATTTACTCATTAATTGTTGATTCCTGTCAGATGTGATTTGGTGAAAATTGAATGTAATTGTGGTTTTGTGCAAATTGAAATTAATATTACAATCACCATCTCATATCCCTGTCTTGGATGTTGGATGTCAACTTAGACCCAGATCATGGTTGCAAAGTACAAATTGTTGAATCCTGGTGAATTGGTAATTTAGTCATGATGGTATTGTCTTATCACGCCGGGTCCATTGACCTGAAATGTTATCTTTGCTTTTCTCTACAGACTCTGATCTGTTGAGTACCATCAGCTTTTTCCAATTTGATTTCAGGTTATTGGCCTATGCAGTATTTCGCTTCTTTTTGAGATGTACTGTATGTTGATATCCTAGTGTTAGTGTCCAATTGTTTAGAATGCATATAAGTGTTTGGGAGAGATAGTGTTGAACAATTGCTTGTCATTTTGAAGATGTCTTGTTAAAGTTTGCCTCAATGTCACTAATGGCTGATCATCTAGCTGCGATATCAGTGGTGTTTGTGAATCTTAACATAATTGGTGTCTGGTGAGAACCGTTTAGTATTCAAGGAAATTGCATTAAAAAAATGTTTAGTTTTAGTTACAGAAGTGGATTCACCACAAAATCCTGGCCAGAAGACTTGGTCATTACCAGTAAGAGGAAAAGAGAATCTTTGGGTGTGCCAGTTGTTCTGAAACTTTGTGAAGCAGAAGTGTTGTCATTTTAAGATTTGAAAGGGATATTTCTGACTTGTATTCGGTTATTACATTGTTCTGTTCTTGACCAGGCCTAATTAGGAACAGTCAGCATGGTTTTGTGCAGGGCAGGTCATATCTTACTAACTTATTTGAATTTTTCAAGGAGGTGACAGGTGATCGATGAGGATAGAGCGTTAGATATAGTCTACATGGATTTTAGTAAGGTTTTCAACAAGGTCCCTCATGGTAAGCTCATCCAGAAAATTTAAATGCATGGGATCCATGGTGATTTGGCCGTGTGGATTCAGAATTGGCTTGTCCATAGAATGCAGAGTGTAGTGGTGGAAGGGTGTTTTTCTGGCTGGAGGGGTATGACTAGTGGTGTTCCGCAGGGATCTGTACTGGGACCTCTGCTGCTTGTGATATACATAAATGACTTGCATGAAAATGTAGATAAGTGGGTTAGTAAGTTTGCAGACAAGACAAAGGTAGGTGGAGTTGTGAATAGTGCAGAAGGTTGTCAAAAGATACAGTGGAATATAGATCAGTTGCAGATATAGGCGGAGAAATGGCTGATGGAGTTTAATCCCATGTGAGATGCTGCACTTTGTGGGATAAAATGTTAAGGAAAAGTATGCAGTTAATGACAGGATGCTGAACAGCATTGATGTACAAAGGGATCTTGGGGTTCAAGTCCATAGCTCCCTGAAAGTGACCACACAAGTAGATAGGGTGATAAAGAAGGCTTACAGCATGCTTGCTTTTATTGGTCAGGGAATTGAGTACAAGAGCCAGGATGTCATGTTGCAGCTTTATAAGACTTTGGTTAGGCCACACTCTAGCGTATTGCATTTATTTCTGGTCACCACATTACAGGAAGGATGTGGAGGCTTTGGAGAGGGTGCAGAAGAGGTTTACCAGGATGCTGCCTAGATTAGAGAGTATGAACAGTAAGGAGAGGTTGGAAAAGCTCTGGTTGTTTTTTCTGGAGCGATGGAGACTGAGAGGAGACTTGATAGAAGTCTGTAAAATTATGAAATGTATAGATAGGGGTGATGGTCAGAATCTTCCAAGAGTTGAAATGTCTAATATGAGGCGCGTGCATTTAAGGTTAGAGCTGGAAAGTTCATAGGAGCCGTGTGGGGTGAGTTTTTTTAAACAGAGTGGTAGGAATCTGGAACGCGCTGCCAGGATTGGTGGTGGAGGTAGATACGATAGGGGCGATTAATGAACTTTTAGATAAGCACATGAATTTGCAAGAAATGGGCCCGTTCCTGCACTGTTCTATATTCTATTCTTGTTCATGTCCATTTCAAGGTATTGGATCTATTTTAGCTGATTGATGTTCTGATCTGAGAGGTGATATTATGGTTCACAAGATGACAGAAAATATAGGTGAATGTACAGAATTTTCAATATGGAATACACTGCAGCTGTTCATTTCAGGTCATACAACCTGTAGAAGAAGGATTGTATAGAAACACGATCTAGTTCATTAAAGATCTGATTTCCATGTTTTCACAGAAATAAGCAAAGGGAGAAGGCATTGTTAAACACTGTGTCATAAGTGAGGGCCATGTCCACCTTGACTCAATTGCCTTTCCAGAAAGTAGCTTACCAGTGGCCCATCGCAGACATCTTGTGTGTGAGAGTGAGAGAGAGAGGAGACAGGGAGTGAAGGGAGGGGTGGGGGGGATGCGGGGGGAGCGGCAGAGGGAGAGAGAGAGATATGGGGGTTTGGAGGGAGAGAGGGAGAGGGAGGGGGCTATTAAGCTATCCTTTGGTGTTCCATTGTTATTCTGATAGCGTGGATTATCTTATTGCTAGCCATCTTTATATTTCCTGACAACAAAAGCACAATTTCTGAATGGTGAAGTAGTCTATCGAATACTCTCTTAACTTGCAATTCAAGTTGGCTGAGGTTCAGTTTTATTTTGTTTTAAATCAACCTATTTAAAGTTAAGCAGGTGGGACTTGAACCCAGGTCTCCTGGGTCCAGAGATAGGGACACTATTTCTGCATCAGAAGGGCTCAATTTTAGTATTTTTAGCTGTGGTATGGTAAGGTTGACCTCATTGACATTGGTTGTTTCACGGTCATCTGTACCCATGTAGAATATGGGGATCATGCAATGTTGGCCAAACCTTTGATACCCTACATAAAATATTTTCTGAAACAATAAGTTACCGCTGACCAGTTGAATCATTTAGAGCAGAGGGGTTGCTGAATTGCATCCCCACTCTGCGCTGAGTTAGCTACCTTGTGTCAATGGTGCTTTCAGTAAACAGAAGATATGTGGATTCTTTACGGAAATGACGTGGAATTCTAGCAAAAATAATGTACCAATTGTAAAATGTGCCATATTTTAAGCACTTTTTAAAAGACCTGCAGCCTCTTTATCTTGAATTTTTCTGCACGAATTATTATTATCATGTTAAG